ATGGAGTTTGACCTAGGTAAATGGTATATTGATATACAGTAACTAACTTAATATGGATTGAATTTATAATATGTATATAATGTATATAAGTTATCACATTTTATAAGAGATTTCTTTATTTTTCTATTAATTCTTAGGTAAATTAATTATATGACTAAATTAATATACTATTTTAATAACATCCTTAATTATATAGTATAAGCATAGAAAAATATGACTATTTTTATAATCAGGGAGTAAGAGTGAATATATAAAAGTTGTGAGGTTTCTATCCGTCTTCAGAAACTATCAAATCCCGTAAATAAAACTAATAAAAATAGATTTTTAGCCACTATATCAGTTTTGTATTAAGCTTTTAAACAGTGAGACCCCCAAATTGAAGAGAGACTCCAGAGTTTTAAGTTTAAATATTGAGGCTTTTTCTGTGTTCAGAATGTTAACCAAATGGCATTGTCACTAGTGCCTCTACCTATGCCTGGTTATAAATGACTTAAAATTATATATATAAGTTTTTATTTCAGTAAATATAACATTATAAATTATCATTATTTTGTTTAAAAAAGCGTTGTTTTAGTTTTTAAATTGCTGTAAGAAGTTTATGGATTTCCTTATACGTAGACATTTTTATAAAGTACGTTAGAAAATAATACAACAAGTAATACACTTTATTCATATTTTACTTTCAAAAAGAAATATAAAAGAAAAATAATTTCTTACGACTATTTTTTTCATCTTAGTATAACTCTGTACAAGGCCTGATAAATGCAGTATTTTTTTTAAAAAGTAAATTTTTTAAATATTATTTCCTAAAACACAATATATTTTTTATTAAACAATCAAAAATGAAAATTTTAACATTTTTAATCATCAAAATTTCGAAAATTCACTTATTTTTTTAAGTATATAAAATGCATTATTTTTACATTTAACCTTCAAAACAATTTTTAAAATAATTTTTTAATATGTAAAATATAAATAACTTATTACATAAATTCAATAAAATATCAAATTTTCTAAGTAAAAAATAAATAAATAAATTTATATTCAACACCATATTATCTTTCTACCCTATAGAGAAGGTTAATATTAGAATTATATACCATGAGAAAGATAAGTTATTTATCAAACATATGATGAAAGATTAAAAAAGAAAGAAAAAAAATTGGGCGAGTCCTTCTTTCTTTTCATCTATTGCATCTAATAATTAAAGTGCATAACACCTGTCACCATAAAAAAAAAGAAACATAATGATCACTTCAAGAGCACGTTGAACTTTTGTCAACTTTTCTTTTGAACAATTAAATATTTTAAAACATCAAAAAATAATTCTAAAACTTTCTAATCATCAATTTATAAGTAATAAATAAATAAAATATTCTTTAAAGGATATAATTCTTGTTTTTATCAATTTTATATTATGATATGTATTATTAATGCTGATCCTGATGCTCTAGAGTCTAGAGCATCAGATAAAATGGAAAAATTTATAAAAAGTTTAGGAAAACAATATAAAAAATTATATATTTTATTTTTTGAATATTTATTTAAATTATTAAGATGATTTTATGATGTTTAATTATTTTAGAACAATTTTTTTTTTGAAGTTCATTAATTAACATTTATCATTTTACTTATCAGTCAGGGTGCTTATCGTCAAAATTAATTAATTTTGATTTTGATTTTGAATAATTTCATTGACTAATTGATTAATTAATTTATTAAAATTGTTTCTAATCTTAATTTTAAGTGAATAGAAAAAGTTTTTTAAAAAAATTAAAAATCGCTATCTTTTATTTATAGAAATTGTTTAAATTTACGAAAAAATATTTTGTAAATATTTTAAAATTTCGGAATATTATTTTGTAATAANGAAATTCTTAAACACAGATACACACACAAATAGCACGTAAAGAAAAATATTTGTTTTCTATAGTTAGGATCTGACTTTGGTCCGGCATAGGACTAAGCACTAACTATAGAGAAGGTTAATATTAGAATTATATACCATGAGAAAGATAAGTTATTTATCAAACATATGATGAAAGATTAAAAAAGAAAGAAAAAAAATTGGGCGAGTCCTTCTTTCTTTTCATCTATTGCATCTAATAATTAAAGTGCATAACACCTGTCACCATAAAAAAAAAGAAACATAATGATCACTTCAAGAGCACGTTGAACTTTTGTCAACTTTTCTTTTGAACAATTAAATATTTTAAAACATCAAAAAATAATTCTAAAACTTTCTAATCATCAATTTATAAGTAATAAATAAATAAATTTATAGAGCAATTTTTTAAAATTAATTTTTACAATAATAATAATTACAGTCTTCACGACAATACATCAAAATAAACCAAATACGCAAAAGACGAGGCATTTTCCAGGAAGACCCATTAAGTCCACTTTGGTCCACTCTGTCTGACCTTTAAACTCACTATCTAATGAGTTAAACAACACTAAATATACATACAACATCAAACACAACAGAATTCAATGTATATTATCTGATTTCATGGACAACATAAAACTCTACGCATCTACACAAGAACAACTAAATCATGTATTAGAAGTTAGACCCTACTGACATTCAAATGGAGCTTCTGTATGGGGAACCTCAATTTTAATGTGTAAAATCCTCTATAAGCCGAATTCTACGTGCCTGCCAGGTCTCTCTGGTCTTCGCAGGCACGTAGAGTTCGGCTTATAAAAGATATTACACATTCAAATGGAGTTTGACCTAGGTAAATGCAGAACACTTCACATAGAAAAAGGAATCCTGAAGAAAGATTATTTTATACTCGGAAATGGAGAAGTTATTGAATCCATGGATGATGGCAAAATCTACAAATTTTGATATTTATGATTCCAAATAGAAGAATCATAGAACACGCACAAATAAAATGAGGACTAACAAAAGAATACATCAGATTAAACTTGATACCAGCAACACAGATGAATTCAAAAGACATTTAAAGCAATTAACACATATGTCACATCAATATTCAGGAATTCATTTGAAGTTATAAATTGGACACACACAGAACTAGAACAACTTCAAACGAAAACATGAACATTACCAAAACACAACAAACCCCACCCTAATTCGTCGATAGAAAGGCTGACCATTCCTAGTAAAGCGGGAAGACGATGCCTCATACGTATTTTAAACCTGTACTACAGTATAAACAAATACAAACAGTGTAAGAATTTTTCTTTAGAAAACAAGAAAGATTACAATTACACAAAGTTGTAACTCTTGCACACAAAAACAGTACACCACTAAACTTACCATGATCTAACACATTACACAAAATGCAAACACCATCAGGCAGTGTTGGATTCAGAAGAAGCTCTACGTTAGACACCACAACGATCTCAGCCAGGATCATGTTAATAGAACTGC